AGGGTGTGGAGGAGGCCATTGCTCTGCACTGCATCATCCATCAGCAGGCCCTTTGCAGCAAATGCCTGAAGTTTGACAATGTGATGTCTGTTGTTGTGAAATGCATCAACCAAATCAGATCCACGGGCTTAAAGCACCGGATGTTCCGTACTTTTTTAGAGGAAATGGAGTCAGAATATGAGGATGTGCTCTACTTCATCGAGGTACGTTGGCTCAGCAGGGGAAACGTCTTGAAGATAATTTTGAGTTGAGAGCAGAAGTGAAAGCCTTCATGGAGAAGGATGGGGTGGCTGTTCCTGTGCTAAGTGATCCCAAATGGCTCATGGACTTAGCTTTTCTTGTTGACATCACGCATGAGCTGAATGTACTGAACAAGAAGTTACAAGGCCAGGGGCAGCTCGTCAGTCCTGCCTATGACAACGTAAGAGCATTCTCCACAAAACTTGTGTTATGGAAAGCCCAGCTCTCTCAGACAATCCTTTGCCGTTTCCCAGCATGCAAGGCACTCCTGAATGCAGGCACACCATTCAGTGGTGAGAAGTATGTTGATGCCATTTTGAGGCTACAGGAGGAATTTGATCACAGATTTGCAGACTTCAAGACGCACAGAGCCACTTTTCAAATTTTTGCCTATCCCTTCTCCTTTGATGTGCAAGATGCCCCTCATGTGCTTCAAATGGAGCTCATTGACCTGCAGTGCAACTCTGACCTCAAAGCCAAGTTCAGGGAGGTGAGTGGAAAAGAAGACAAGCTTGGGCAATTTTTGCGAGAATTGAACCCCAGCTTCCCTGAGCTTTCCCGAATGTTCAAGCGGACCATGTGCCTTTTTGGGAGCACATATTTGTGTGAAAAGTTCTTCTTCACCTTGAACTTCAATAAGTCCAAGTACAGGTCCAGACTTACTGATGATCATCTTCAAGCCATACTGAGGGTCTCAACTGTTTCCTCCCTCAAGCCAAATGTGGCTCTCAGCTATGTGAGAGGAAGCGCTGCCAGGTCTCTGGCAGCAAGAAGTAGGCAAGAGAAGCCATGTTCAGAAGAACTGTTCATGTTCTTCAATATTTTATTCATGTTCAGAAGAACCCATTGAAGTTAAATAACTGTTAGTAATGACATTTGAGAAGATTGGATTTTTTTAGCAAAGTTTTTTTTTGTGGAATACCTGATGCGGCCCAGTCTCACCCAGATACTGCATCCAGCGGCCCCCAGGTAATTTGAGTTTGAGACTCCTGCTTTAAAAGCAGCCTGCATCAGCAGCTTGCCTCCTATTTTGTGTCTTCCTGAGGACGATTGCTTGAGTTGCGATCGAAACGTCGTAAATATTATTCATTCTACCTACGTGACTTTAACGAAAGAACCAAAGAGTATGGATTCCTGCAGTCACGAAAGCTTCAAATCAAGACTGGAGAGTTCGTTTGCAAGCCTGATGAACCAGACCACACGTGTTTCTGATTATTCCAATGGACTTCATTATATTTAAACTATTAAACCATTTTAACTGGTAATAATAACACGAATGTATAATGTGCATTCCATCTGAAAATCCAAATGCGTAAGGAATCACTGAGCTCAGTTTAACACATAGGCTGTCGCGAAAAATATTCATAATAATCTACAACTCATTACTAATCATAACAATTGACTGATTACTTATCTATTATATAATTACAATACCCCTCTTCTTGGTTCTTTCGGTAAAGTCACGTAGAAGGGAAGTAATAAAATAATAAAAATAAAACATAATAAAACAATTCTCACGACGTTTCGGCCACAACGCAAGCAGCCGTCCTCAGGTGAAAACCAGGTCCGTCGAGGCGACAGAGTCTGAATGAAACAGCACACGGGCTTGGAGCATATATATAAGCTGGGCGCATTGACAAAGGAATTTGCATATCAACAGGAATTTAGCATATTCATGGGAAATGCAGGAATGTAATTAGTACTGCATATGCATGTGCATTATGCAGGATTAACAGCATCAAAGGGAGCTGCAGTTACTGCTGCTGCAGTAGTTGCTGCTGCTGCTGCAGTTTCTGCTGCTGCTGCAGTTGCTGCTGCTGCAGTTGCTGCTGCTGCACTTGCTGCTGCTGCTGCACTTGCTGCTGCTGCTGCACTTGCTGCTGCTGCTGCACTTGCTGCTGCTGCTGCAGTTGCTGCCTTATCCATTTTAATATAACACTATGTATTATTCTACCCACCCTAATGTGTATCATACTGCTATATGTTTACTGTACAATTACGACACCATACATTACTCTGCACACTGCACCATGCCAGTGAGTGGAACGCGGTCTGAAAGTCACCGTTAACGTGAACACAATCAGTTAAGATCCGCAATGGTTTATTACGTCCTTCCAATGATTGCTAAGACAGAATCCATCTTCTCGGTTGAAATTGTCTCTGTGTTTGTATATGTGAACCGAGAAGATGGATTCTGGCTTAGCAATCATTGGAAGGACGTAATAAACCATTTCGGATCTTAACTGATTGTGTTCACGTTAACGGTGACTTTCAGACCGCGTTCCACTCACTGGCATGGTGCAGTGTGCAGAGTAATGTATGGTGTCGTAATTGTACAGTAAACATATAGCAGTATGATACACATTAGGGTGGGTAGAATAATACATAGTGTTATATTAAAATGGATAAGGCAGCAACTGCAGCAGCAGCAGCAAGTGCAGCAGCAGCAAGTGCAGCAGCAGCAAGTGCAGCAGCAGCAGCAACTGCAGCAGCAACTGCAGCAGCAGCAGAAACTGCAGCAGCAGCAGCAGCAACTACTGCAGCAGCAGTAACTGCAGCTCCCTTTGATGCTGTTAATCCTGCATAATGCACATGCATATGCAGTACTAATTACATTCCTGCATTTCCCATAAATATGCTAAATTCCTGTTGATATGCAAATTCCTTTGTCAATGCGCCCAGCTTATATATATGCTCCAAGCCCGTGTGCTGTTTCATTCAGACTCTGTCGCCTCGACGGACCTGGTTTTCACCTGAGGACGGCTGCTTGCGTTGTGGCCGAAACGTCGTGAGAATTGTTTTATTATGTTTTATTTTTATTATTTTATTACTTCCCTTCTACGTGACTTTACCGAAAGAACCAAGAAGATGAATCCCTGCAGTCACGAAAGCTTTAAATCGAAATACAATACCCCTCTCCACCTCAAATCACTGCACCTGAATGAGTTAAATGATGATGTCACCCTGCTGCTCTATTTAAGACCGGGAGCAAGTTAGGGCTTCACCATTCTGGCAAATTGCCCAATGATGCTGGATGTAATTACCAGCGAAACGGCGTATTCAAAAATTGTAAATGTTATGGATTCACTCTTCAACAGACCGGTGGGCTAAAGTAGTGAACTATTTATCTTTTGTCAACGTGACACTTTTTTACTGATTGCCCATTTTGGGTGGTGGAGGATTACGACCCATTTATAAATAACGCGATCTAACCCAAAAACGTTTATTATGAATATTATTGGTCGCGAAAGCCTACGTGTTGAACTGACTAACCTCTATGGGGAGGATACTTTTCTTACAACCAGAAAATTGGAGAAGCTCTGCATCAAGCATATGAAATTGATATCTTCACTGGCGTTTCTCAAAAGGTGCAGATATTCGAAGGTTAAAATAACACATCACAGAAAGTCAGCTAAAGCTAACCAAATACTACAAAAAACTAGCGAATTATTATTAATAGAGAGAATACAGCACAACAGGAGTGAATTGTCTTACATTTCGGAATCTCTAAGGCAGTTGCACTTGGATATATGCAATAGTGTATCGATGCATTATTGGAATATAATGGATACCATAACATAACAATCGGCTGATAATGTGTCTAATCATACAATAACTTGCCAAATAAATTAAATTCTCTAGACTTAATAATAAACAATTCCCTACTAAAAACGAACAATTTGAAAACAAAACCGTAATGAACTTAACTAACACTGTTTTAACCAGTGACATGATATCCGTCCTTTCTAAAGGCCTTAACTTTGCCATTACCCCACGCACAATTCCAGTCGATGAAATAATTGCTCGGGTAGAATCGGCGGTAAGACTCCTTACATATAATGAGGCAGAGATGACTAGACACGAGGTTGCCAAAAAGATTGAGAATAGCAAAGTACCAAAAGTAAATATTAGCTCGAATGAAGCAAAGGTCTTAAGAGAGCTCCGATTAAATAAAGATATTCAAATCCTGGCAAATGATAAAGGCCGCACTACTGTAGAGATGTCACGAGACGATTATGATAAATAAAAATAAAAGATTTACTACAGGAAAGTACCTACATGGGGAGAAAACCATTGGAGCACCTAATAAAAACCATTACCTTGCTATACATAGCAGGTGTTACCAAAAATATTTCCAAAATCTTGAACAAACACAAGATTCAACACAGTACATAGAATACGTGATTTGATCCCATCTGTGAATAATGTGATTCCTGACATGCAATACCCTGGTGTCTACAAAATAAGTTGTGTCTGCGGCAGTAGTTACATTGGGGAAACAAAACAACATGCCTCGGACCGTGTTCACGAACATAAGGCAGATTTGAAACACGGCATAACCAATACCTCTGCCGTGGCTTATCACTGTTTTAATGCGGTTGGCTCAAACATTATTGTTTTTTCCGAGACCAAGGTACTCTGCAAACCTTCGGGCTACCATCAAAGATTTGTCCATGAAGCCAACCACATGTATAAACAGAGACACAAATTTCAATCGAGAAGATGGTTACAAACTGAGCAATCATTGGAAGGACGTTATTAACCGGTTTAGGTCATAACTGGCTGTGATGTCCCTTTCCTGCCTGCCGATGTTAGCAGCTATTCTCGACTCTTGAGTCACATTCACCAACACAGCTTATCTCTCCCCCTGCCACCTATTATCTATGCCCCACCCCCTCTCTCTCCCCCTGGTGCATTCGAAGCTTTCTTCCTTATCTCTGCCCCCCCCCCTCGCTCTCCATTTTGTCTCGGACGCAGCCCCTTTCTCATCTCCGCCCCACCTCCTCTCTCTCTCGCTGCCGCCGATTTCCCACTTGTCTCACGTGCAGCCCCTTTCTTATATTGCGTACGCAAAATCTGAATAGGTTTTACCCTTTCTGGCAATAAAACAGGAGGTATCCATTTGGTGTTTGAAACAAATAGATACTTATCGCACGGAATCAAGTCTGCATTAGCCACACACTGTACTTGTGGTGAACATGCAAACAAACGTGCTCTGATAACATATTGGCGTTGTCTTTTAAACTTATTGGCCTACACCAGAGACAGCAGCCTTCTGCTGTCTCTTGTGTAATCTCACCACCAGTGTCAGACCAGAGAACGCCAAAAAGCGAACAGCACGAAGACAATGCACGTGTATTATAGTATGAATAGTTCGGGGTGATCAGCTTTCTCATGGGATACCTTTTGTGCCAGTATCAAAGTATGGAAAATAATAAAAGATGTTGACCCTTTCTGGAAATAAAATAGGAGTTGTGTTAAGATGTTCAAACACCTAAATAAATACCGAACGTCATTTATATGACGGCCCTGCTGCCCGACAACACGGTGGGAGGCAGTAGTCGCGTTCTGGAAGAATGACGCATTATGTAAACATGGCGTTGTAGTAAATAACATATAATGCAGGGGGTAAAGTATGGTCCGCCATAACGTGCGTGAGATGCATACGCAGGGCCCAACGAAGATTGAGGATGCACGGTGGATAGCATCTAGAAGCATCCAGCAACATCCCAATGCCTTGTTGTGACTCTAGGTAGTATCTAGAAGCATCCAGCACATCCCAATACCTTTATTGTGTGACGCTAAACCGAGGCAACCATACGACCGCGTATCCCCACTCACGCGACCGTAGTTCCGTTCGCTCGATTTCGTAATATATCCCATTCGCATCCACCCTATATCGCGGTATAGGGAGAATGGACTGTGCTTTAAAACATCGTAAAACAATTAGGTTAAACTCACGAACACTGGTTGCCTACTTCCCAGCCAAATGCCCACCCACTCCCTGAGCCTCGACTGGTTTTATTGACCAGCAAACATCTGTGAGCTTCATAGCTCATCGGATTCCTCCTCTGGTAAAAATACATTTTCTGATTCTGGTAATGTCAGGGTCTTGTGAAATTTCACCCCGAGTAAAAACTGTCAGGCCGAAACGAATCTCAGTGTCATGGAGAATTCTTCGACCTGGCGATTTATATCTTAGGCCTGGCAAAACTCCTACGGCGAGTTCGCTAGGCAGCTGGCTGGCTGGCTGGTAACAAGAAGTAGGTGCGCATTGCTACGCCATGTAAATGCAAACTACAAATTTTAAACTCTGATTTCCCTTCAGCCCCAGGTCTGAAGGAAGCCACAATTCAGAGCTAAACCCTCGCACAATGAGTCCCTTTCGAAGTCCTTAGGCCTCGTAAACGTCTTTAAAGGCCTCGGAGAGAGAAATCGGAGGCCCCCCCCCCCCCCCCCCTGGCAGGAACGCGGGTTCCAGAGGGGGGACATGGGTAACGGGGGAAACGCGGGTTCTGGTGGGAATGTGGGTTCTGGAGGGGGAACGTGGTTTCTGGAGGGGGAACGTGTGTTCTGGAGGGGGAACGTGGGTTCTGGAGGGGGAACGTGGGTTCTGGAGGGGGAACGTGGGTTCTGGAGGGGGAATGTGGGTTCTGGAGGGGGAACGTGGGTTCTGGTGGGAACGCGGGTTCTGGTGGGAACGCGGGTTCTGGTGGGAACGTGGGTTCTGGAGGGGGAACGTGGGTTCTGGAGGAGGAACGTGGGTTCTAGGGAGGAATGTGGGGTTTGATGGGGGAAGGTGGGTTCTGGTGGGAACGTGGGTTCTGGAGGAGGAACGTGGGTTTTGGAGGGGGAACGTGGGTTCCGGAGGGAGAACGTGGGTTCCGGAGGGGCAACGTGGGTTCTGGAGGAGGAACGTGGGTTCTGGAGGGGGAACGTGGGTTCTGGAGGAAGAACGTGGGTTCTGGAGGGGGAACGTGCGTTCTAGGGTGGAACGTGGGTTCTGGTGGGAATGTGAGGTCTTGGGGAGAACCTGGGTTCTGGTAGGAATGTGGGTTATGGAGGGGGAACGTGGATTCTAGTGGGAACGTGGGTTCTGGAGGGAGAACGTGCGTTACCGGGGGGGAACGTGGGGTCTGGTGGGAATGTGGGTTATGCAGGGGGAACGTGGATTCTAGTGGGAACGTGGGTTCTGGAGGGAGAACGTGGGTACCGTGGGGGAACGTGGGTTCTGGTGAGAACGTGGGTTGTGGAGTGGGAACCTGGGTTCTGGTGAGAACGTGGGTTCTGGTGGGAACGTCCGTTCTAGTGGCAACGTGGGTTCTTGGGGGGAACGTGGGTTCTGCTGGGAAAGTGTGTTCTGGTGGGAACGTGGGTAACAACCATCCCCCCCCTCCCCCCGGGTGCTGCCACCACCGCTGCCACCACCGCCGCGCTATCACTGCTCCCCGCACGCGTTCACGTGCAGGCGGAGCACCCCGCGGCTGTGCAGCCTCAGCAGCTCCGCGAACTCGCTGGGCATGTAGTGCCCCGACTTGGGCTGCTGGTCGTCGTAGTAGTGGTGGGGCAACCGGCGGCCCAGCGGTCGGTCAACAGGGGCGGCCGTGGGGGTCATGGCGGCCTGCACCCCCTTCTTACTCTTCCTGCTCCTCTTCGGGATCCTCCTTCTCTCGTCCTCCTTCACCTGCACCGGGGTGGGCAGGTCGTACACGAACGGCCAGAAGCCAAAGACGTGCACCTCGTTGCACAGATCCATGGCCACGCTTGTCTGGGGTGGGGGGGGGGGGCATGTGGGAGTGAGGAGGGGGGAGATAGGGGAGGGTGGGAGATGTTTTGGGAGACACAGGGATAATTTTACGGGAGTGTGCACATTCTATTTAAACTATTAAACCATTTTAGCTGGTAATAATACGAATGTATAATGTGTATTACATCCGAGGATCGCAATACGTGTAATAAAAGACTCCGTCAGGCACTGCTGGTCTCCGTTTGTCTTTTATTCAGGTTCTTCTCCGCACCCCACTGGTCTCCTCCACGGACCAGCGTCGTCTCGCGCGCGCCCCGCGCACGCTCCCTCTCGCGTGCCACGCACGCTCCTCCGTTAGCTCCTCCACTCGTCCTCACACCCTGCTAGTCCTGACAAGGGACCAGCGTCTCCTCTCGCGTGCCCCGCACGCTCCTCTCGCGTGCCCCGCACGCTCCTCTCGCGTGCCCCTGCACGCTCCTCTCGCGTGCCCCTGCACGCTCCTCTCGCGTGCCCCTGCACGCTCCTCTCGCGTGCCCCGCATGCTCCTCCGTCAGCTCCTTCTCGCGCGTGCCCCGCACGCGCTCTCCCGTTAGTCGCTCCGCTCACCGCTGGCCGACGGTGTGCCGAAGCCCCATCAGCCACGTGGCTGATGGCGCTGCGGCCACCCAACGTGGTCCCGTTTCTTCACTCCATCAACTGGCCCCGATCTCTTCCGGGCTCCCCTCTATATCGTCTCTGCCACGTGACCCTGACTCCTCCCCTTCCAGATCATCAGATCCGGCCTTCTCATACTGCCCTGCTGGCTCCACCTCCATTCACCTCGCTTCCCATTGGAGCCGAGGTGAATGGTGGCCCCTCCCACACGCCCCCCATACTGGGCCATGTGATTGGGCCAGAGCCCAGCAGCAACCCCATTACGCTCGTATTACATGACCCCCCCCCCCCCTGATGAAAAATCCAACTGTCCCGGCTGCAATAGGATAAAATAATGCAAGCGACGGCATCACAATCAGGAATCACCCCAGACACAACGGAGAGTACAACGACAAACACAATTAACGAAAGGGAAGGGATCAGGATTCGGTACGGAACACCGGTCGATCCTCCGTGCAACAAGCAAGAAAGAATTTAGGAATGGAAAGCAATGCACAACAACGGTAACCGACACGCAAGAACGGCCGACGCGCATAAACCAGGAATGCGTTGTCTTAGAGCGTGTCCATGTTGCTGGGCCATCCGCCTGGCTCAAGTCCAACTTCAGAGAGCAACTGGTAGAGCAGGAGTGACGAACAGGTGCTCAACTCCCCCTTCAAGTCCACAACCGGTTAGGACAACCGGTGACACCCAATGTGGCAGGCGCCGAAGATCTGTGACGAAAAGGAGAACCCAACCCCCTGAGGCACAGCACAATGAAACGCAAATCCGCATGTCGTACAAGACAGCCACCTGGCCCCAGGGTAGTGGAGATGATCGAAATCCGCCCCGCGTAAGGAGAACCCCGATAAATTTCCAAAAATCGATGCGATGGATGCCCCAGTATTTACATTTTAACAAAAAAATATTATTTACACGTGACAACTAAATTTTTCCTGCTCTTGCCCATCAGCAGTCCTCCCTTGAGGACCAGCACAGACATCTCACATAAACAGCATCTACCCACTGTCACTCGCACCACAGCCCCCGGTCGCATACCCTCGCGTGGAGAGAGCCATGCTCCCCAGCGGCAACATTTAACTTGCCTGTCGTCCAACCACAGCAACGTCCACTGGCCATACACTCGGCCAGTGCAATTTCGGGGACGAGACAACGGCACATCGCAACGACTCAGCCACGCTCCATCCCGTACTATCCCATCACCAATGGACACACCCCAGCACTTTATAGTCTGACGTTTTACAGACAAGGGAAGGTTCATCGCTTGGCAAGGCCAGACCCCATCGACCCCCCCCCCCCCCCCCCCCCCCACGGGGCAATGTTCCCTTATACATGCAATAATGTCATAACCCAGAGCGGAACAAGTCCGCGGCCCTTCCCGCTGGAGGACCCGCAAGGGGAATCCCTGCCTCATGCTAGCCAGGTCTCCCCGTTCGCTGCCACGTAACGGAACCTCTACTCCTGAATTCCGTGAGCCCCCGGCCCACCAGGTTCACAGTCTGCCACCGCACAACGGAACCCCGGCTCCCCGAGCCATATGAGCACACGGGCCATTAGTTTGAGACATACCACGGAGTGTCTCGCCTCCGGGCTTTCAGGTCAGCCATCGGCCATAGGCCGATGTGACCACAACTCGTGCATCACCCACTCAACAATGGCGGCCGTATACTGGTGAAAAATTTGCCCCAGAATAGAACCCAGCCAGCATCTCTGTCCCAAAATGCAGGTGCAATGACACGCCCCCCCCTCTTAGTCAGACACGGGCCACTATGCTCCTGTTACCCCGATGGGCGCCAACACGCCAGCATTGCGCACAACACGCAATGCATGCACACAAGTTATAGCGCAACACGAGAGTCAAGAGATGATATCCATAACCGCATCCCCACGGCTCGACGTGTATACTCAAAATGGCGGCGGCACTCGCGAAGCGCCCCACCGAGGTTTTCTCCGCACGCTCAAAATGGCGGCCCCCTGCGCCAAGCGCATCCCCGCGATTTCCCGCGCGAGCACAAAATGGCGGCCCCATGCGCCGAGCGCATCCCCGCGTATTCCCGCGCTATCCAAAATGGCGGCCCAACGTGCGACCACTTCAGCAGTTTTTCCTGTGCGTGCACCCCAGCTGCCTCTCGCTGGGGGTGACAACACACATCCCCTGTCATGTTTTAACAAACCCCCAAAGATATGACACATAGCCGCAGCTTGCTGTGCACAGCAGTCGTATCGGGGGAATTTTTAAACCATAGTTGACCAAAACACATTGCTCATACACACCAACTCGCAATGCAACCCCTGGCCGCATGCAATCAACGGAAAGAGCGACGCCACTTGGCGGAAATTTACGGCCCCATCCCTCAACACTCGCAATTTCCTATGAACACACATGCAATCTCGTGTGCACGAACACCCATACAACCAAAATTTAGGGTCCCCCACGAATTGACCAATTTCCGAACAGGTACACAATCCCGAACCCAATGGTCAAAACAATGCACCGCACTCCGTATCCGTACAGAAAGACAGTCTATACAGTTCGTGCAGTCAGCATATCGCGATTACAAGCAGAAAAGTTCCACACAGGTCGTACATTATGCACAATCGCAAGCAGAGCTGCAGGCAGACAACACACCGTTAACCCAATCGCACCGTGCAGCAAAAAAAAATCATCAAAATAACCACGTCGCACACAGCAACCCACGGGATGGTAACAGCGCGGGACACTCGACGCAACCGAATTAATAATTAACCTCACCATCAAGATAACATCCCCATGCCGCAACGCATAAACACTATTTGACACAGAGCAAACACAAGCAGACAGCCCGTCCATCCTCACACACACACCCCTACCCGCGCTCCACACGCTCGAGACATACAACAATCGCACCCCGGCACAAGCAAGATGGGTGAGGTGTGTGTTAGGGCCGGGTGAATATTGTCACGACTCGCCCGGGGCTGCAGCGAGCAGAGGACGGCAGGGTGGTGACTTGAGATGCTTCGCAGAACTCGGACGGTGAGCGCGGCGTCCTCCCACGACTGCTCCGGTGTCTCGCACACGAGCCAGGATGGGAGAGCTCCCGCCCCGGCAGCAGCAGCGTCGGCATTCTCTCTTTGCGGCTCCTTCCCGCAAAAACAGCTGCTCAGCAGCAGGATGCACACCACGCGGCGCCTCCGAGATGGCAGCACATGGCCGCCTCTTCGCCGCGATGTTCAAGATGGCGGCGGCCTGCCACGTGGTCGCTGGAGGACGTGCGCCGGCGGCCGTCTCTTCGTCGTCGGAAGACGTAACAAGTGGGTTACGCTTTTCAAGTTCTCGGCCATCTTTCTCTGTTATTTTGCTTTGAAAAAGTCCACCTCTGACTCCAGTGTAATAAAAGACTGTCAGGCACTGCTGGTCTCCGCTTGTCTTTTAATCAGGTTCTTCTCCGCACCCCACTGGTCTCCTCCACGGACCAGCGTCGTCTCACGCGCGCCCCGCGCACGCTTCCTCTCGCGTGCCACGCACGCTCCTCCGTTAGCTCTTCTACTCGTCCTCACACCCTGCTGGTCCTGAAAAGAGACCAGTGTCTCCTCTTGCGTACCACGCACGCTCCTCTCGCGTGCCCCGCACGCTCCTCTCGCGTGCCCCACACGCTCCTCCGTCAGCTCCTTCTCGAGCGCCCCGCACGCGCTCTCCCATTAGTCGCTCCGCTCCTCCCCGCTCCGGACACCGCTGGCCGACGGTGTGCCGAAGCCCCATCAGCCACGTGGCTGATGGCGCGGCGGCCACCCAACGTGGTCCCACTTCTTCACTCCATCAACTGGCCCCGATCTCTTCCGGGCTCCCCTCTATATCGTCTCTCCCACGTGACCCTGACTCCTCCCCTTCCGGATCGTCAGATCCGGCCTTCTCATACTGCCCTGCTGGCTTCACCTCCATTCACCTCGCTTCCCATTGAAGCCGAGGTGAACGGCGGCCCCTCCCACACGCCCCCCATACCGGGCCGTGTGATTGGGCCAGAGCCCAGCAGCAACCCCATTTACGCTCACATTACATACGTAAGGAATCACTGAGATGCTACGTAGCTCTTCTTTGTGAAGCCACTTGGCTATCATGAATGATATCTCATTGAAGTGGTATATTATTACTCTTTGCTTATTTCGGTTAAGTCACGTAGGTATAAAATAAAATAAATCACGACGTTTCGGGTGCAACAAGGACTGAATCCAAATGTACTAACTTTGGTAAGGTACTGCCTTACCAACACATATTTCACCTGGAATGGTATATTCTACAAACAAAATTAGGGTACCCCAATGGGTTCTCCCTTATCGACAGTGGTAGCGAATGTTTTCATGGACAAATTTGAGACCGATGCCATCCAGAC